GTGATGGAGCCGCCACTAGGGGGCAGTGCGGCTGTACCCACTTAACCGCTAACAGCAGTGGAATGGAAGTTCGAAACTCAGTACTGAGCGGAACAGAGCAAATTACCCCCCCCCCATTCCTATCCTGAGTATGGCACATAACCCCTTCCTATCCTGCATGACCCCTCTCCCGCTATACTGACACACACTGAGGGTATAAATAGGTGACATGGTGCACTTTTCTACTGTATTTCAGTAAGTATTGCAAATAAGGGACTCTACTGTAAAATGTTAAGACTAAGAAATTATACATTGCTGTTTAAAGCTACATCCACTGATTGTGTATGGGTCATCACATAGCTCCACGGCAATAAAGCTCCCAGTAATGTACAGTGTATGGGTCATCACAGAGCTCCACGGCAATAAAACTCCCAGTAATGTACAGTGTATGGGTCATCACATAGCTCCACGGCAATAAAGCTCCCAGTAATGTACAGTGTATGGGTCATCACAGAGCTCCACGGCAATAAAACTCCCAGTAATGTACAGTGTATGGGTCATCACATAGCTCCACGGCAATAAAGCTCCCAGTAATGTACAGTGTATGGGTCATCACAGAGCTCCACGGCAATAAAACTCCCAGTAATGTACAGTGTATGGGTCATCACATAGCTCCACGGCAATAAAGCTCCCAGTAATGTACAGTGTATGGGTCATCACAGAGCTCCACGGCAATAAAACTCCCAGTAATGTACAGTGTATGGGTCATCACATAGCTCCACGGCAGTAAAACTCCCAGTAATGTACAGTGTATGGGTCATCACATAGCTCCACGGCAATAAAGCTCCCAGTAATGTACAATGTATGGGTCATCACAGAGCTCCACGGCAATAAGGCTCCAGGTAATGTACAATGTATGGGTCATCACAGAGCTCCACGGCAATAAAGCTCCCAGTAATGTACAATGTATGGGTCATCACAGAGCTCCACGGCAATAAGGCTCCAGGTAATGTACATTGTATGTGTCATCACAGAGCTCCACGGCAATAAAGCTCCCAGTAATGTACAATGTATGGGTCATCACAGAGGTCCACTGCAATAAAGCTCCCAGTAATGTACAATGTATGTGTCATCACTGAGCTCCACGGCAATAAAGCTCCCAGTAGTGTACAGTGTGTTTGGTCACCACAGAGCTAAACGGCAATAAATCTCCCCGTAATGTACAGTGTACGGGTCTTCACAGAGCTCCACGGCATTAAAGCTCCCAGTAATGTGCAGTATGTATCACAGAGCTCCACAGCAATAAACCTTGCAGTCATTGGTATATACTACCCTTCCAGTAAAATTTTGCAGGATTTGTGTCAGAATGACTTCTGTTACAGGGGAGCACGGTTTCTTTAAAGCTCTGGGTAAAGGCTCATGGATGATCATTGATCAGATTCTCAGTCTGCCTCCAGGGAAGGAATGAGTTTCAGCAATTGTTGTATGGACAATAATGTCTACTCTGTTCTGGCAGATGTGGACTGTAAACATCCTGAGCGCCGCTGGAACCGGCTGGATCATGGGAATTGTTTATTCTGAACGTGGTGCATTCTGGCTGTAATATATGCATCTAATTATTGCTATTTGTGAGGAGAAATGAATACTAATCATTTTAGTAACCGCAATCTAAAATCACTGGGTGCAGCAGGCGCTATCCATATATTCTATATCTAGAATGACCAACGGCGCGATCCATATATTCTATATCTAGAATGACTAACGGCGCGATCCATATATTCTATATCTAGAATGACTAGCGATCCATATATTCTATGTCTAGAATGACTAACGGCGCGATCCATATATTCTATATCTAGAATGACTAACGGCGCGATCCATATATTCTATGTCTAGAATGACTAACGGCGCGATCCATATATTCTATATCTAGAATGACTAACGGCGCGATCCATATATTCTATGTCTAGAATGACTAACGGCGCGATCCATATATTCTATGTCTAGAATGACTAACGGCGCGATCCATATATTCTATGTCTAGAATGACTAACGGCGCTGATCCATATATTCTATATAGAATGACTTCAGCGGCGTGATCCATATATTCTATGTACGGGGTATTAGCGGCGCTGATCCATATATTCTATATCCTAGAATTGACTAACTTGGTAGCGATCCATATATTCTATGTCTAGAATATTCGCGAATAAATACCATTTACAACAATACCAGAATGACTAGCGGCGATCCATATATTCCGCCATCTAAATTACCAGCGGTAGCGATCCATGTATATACAGATGACCAGCGGTAGCGTCCATATATTTCTATATATAGAATGACTAGCGAAATCCATATATTTCTATGTATCTGAGGCGGCCATGGCGATCCATATATTCTATATCTAGAATTACCAACGGCGCGATCCATATATTCTATATCTAGAATGACTAACGGCGCGATCCATATATTCTATGTCTAGAATTACTAACGGCGCGATCCATATATTCTATGTCTAGAATGACTAGCGATCCATATATTCTATGTCTAGAATGACTAGCGATCCATATATTCTATGTCTAGAATGACTAGCGATCCATATATTCTATATCTAGAATTACCAACGGCGCGATCCATATATTCTATATCTAGAATGACTAACGGCGCGATCCATATATTCTATGTCTAGAATTACTAACGGCGCGATCCATATATTCTATATCTAGAATGACTAACGGCGCGATCCATATATTCTATATCTAGAATGACTAACGGCGCGATCCATATATTCTATATCTAGAATGTGTGTGTCAATAGTGATCTCCCTCACTGTGTGTAACGCCTCTCAGCTGGTCTAGTTTCCTTTTCATTAATGATTGAGTCATAGCGGCTAATGGACCATTAAACTGATGAACTCTGGGATTTCGTTAAGTAGAGTATTCCCCTCCTCCATAATTCCAGACTCGCAGTGAATGTTAAACGCGTCTCCTGACTACTGATAGCAATATACAGTGTATAAACAGAGCGAGCCCTGCTTCTATCTATGGATTTATATAGTGTATAAACAGAGCGAGCCCTGCTTCTATCTATCTATGGATTTATATAGTGTATAAACAGAGCGAGCCCTGCTTCTATCTATCTATGGATTTATATAGTGTATAAACAGAGCGAGCCCTGCTT